TATATATACATACCAATAACAACAACAACAAACTCCAAACTATTCAGACTTGTAAACTAAGTCTCACTTTGTCTAAAGTTCCAGCAGCAGACAGGGAAGTAAACAATTTTTTTCCCCTCCAAATACTTTAATGCCAAGTATTGCTTAACAACTGCTGGCTGATTTCAATGGCATAGCCAAGCGATGGAAGCGTTGTTTTACACCCTTGGTTTGATTCCAAGTGTTAAAGCAGTAAATGCGATTGGCAGTCAGTGGACTCCCTTTTATATCCCTTAAACTTGTCATTCTGGCTTCCTTCTTTGATGGCCTGTGTGACAGCTGCATTCAGCGTAATGGTCTCTCCCCACCAATCACACCAAGGACCAGGAATGAGATTTTGGCATACCCTCTATTGGCCATTGTCAATCTCTTTGTCTACATTTCTAAAAAATAAAAAGAAGGGAAAGAGAAGAGAGAAAGTGAGGGAGGAAGGGGGAGGGAGGAAGGGAAAGAAGAAAGGAATGATGGGAGGGAGGGAGGGAGGGAGGGAGGGAAGAAAGGAGAGAGGGAAGGAGGAAAGCACTTCACACCGAGTATTGATGGTTCTTGCACCAGAAACTTAACAAGTTTTAAAATGGAAGCTGAACATATGACTGTTCTCATTTACTTGCTTGGTACAATTTTCACTAAACTTTGCCCTTCTCCAACTACCTTTGCAGTTTGGGTCTTTTCTGTATGTCATTGCAAACCACTGCAACAGTTAGCATTCTTTTTTAAATTACTGTACTTTAAAAAGCTTAATGCATCTCTTTTGATATTTTTTGTATTAGTACTATGAGTAGAAATCAGCATCATTTACCACAAATAAAAGGTAGTGGTAAAATGAGAATGGTTCACACAAATAGCTTCTTAAGTCCAGCTAGCTGATGCTGCCTGCGGAGGGCTGGGAGGCAGAATCTGGTATACCTTGATTCAGCTATTGGTTCAACCATTTAAGAAAAGAGCTGGCAGGGGTTAGTGAGGTGTTAAGAGCAAAACCCTGAACCAAGGCTTGCTCTTTGAGGTAATAAGATGGGCTAGAAAGTTCACAGTTTGCTGACTGGGTGAGTTGGTTTTCTTTGGAGCCATGCCCATGCTCCATTTTGAAGCCCCTACTTAGTCTTTTATACTATTTGTAGTAAAAGGACTAATGGGGAAAAAAACACACTTTGAAGGGATTAAAGTACACCTGTATTATGGAAAAGCCAATTGTCTTTGTTTCTTTGGAAAATATATGTTATTTAGGGCCTCATGCATGCTAGGCAAGTGGTTTTCCACTGAGCTATATCCCAGCTCCACATGGCACTAAGGCAGCTGCAAGAATAAGGGGGAAAGTAGGCAGGGGTTCAAAATTCCCTGACATAAAAGTCTAGTTTTACAAGATAAAGAACTCTAGAGATGGGTGGTGGTCCTGGTCTTATCTGTTGTCTGTGTATTTAAAATTTCAATGAATAGTACACTTAAACATGGTTTAGATGGTAGATTGTGAGCTGTACTTTACCACAATAAAAAAAAAGGGAGCTGGGGATACAGCTCAGCAGTACAGCACTTGTCTAGCATGCACAAAGCCCTGGGTCCCAACACCACACACACACACACACACACACACACACACACACACAGATATGAAATGAAATCATGAAGCAATATCTGCAATACATACATATTTGTATGTGAATATATCTATATATTTATATATGCATGAGCTTAAGTACATATATATGAAATATGTATTCCTAGGTAAAAATGACTGGAAGGAAATGTACCTAGCAATTACTGTATAATTGTGTTATGGGAGTGGTGGTTGTATTTGAGGCAATTGTTGTTCTTTACTGTTTTCCAAAAATGCTACTTCTATAATAAGCATCACATTAAAAAATATAAAAAAACAAAACCCAAAACTATAAACATAAACAAAGTACAGTAAGAATAAATTCTTAAGCTTCACAAGTCTTTCCTTGTGAGCTCAGGTCATCAATGTGCTTTAAGATGAAGCTTACTGACTCATACCGGCCTTGGCCTTGAACCAGTGTGATAAGCCAAGGATGGAGCCAAGTCTGAAAGACTCTTCTCTCTTCTTCAAGAGAAAGAATTCTTCCTTGGTTACTGTTTTGGCCCATTCCCAGAAGGTGCCCTGCTTAATTTGTCATTTCTGCCTTTTAACTCTCATAAACGGCAAGGAATTTTATAATGTTTTTGTTCTGTCTTGTCTTGTTTTGTTTTGTATGAGACAGGATCTCCTTTTAGGCCCAGATGACCTAGAAGTCGCTATGTAGCCGAGACTGACCTCAATCTTGCAGAGACCTGCCTGCCTCTGCCTCCTGAGTGCAGTGATTAAAGGTGTGTGCCACCATGCCCAGTCAATAATGTTGTTTTTACCAGCATCTTGGTCTTTAGAAATTTCTTCTGTCTGCTGTTTCCTCCCTGCCTTTGTGATGATAATTACTGCTCATCTAATCATATTCAAACATTTAATGAATCAAAAAACTCGGATTTAGCTTTATCTCATGTAGATTTAATGTGAGGTTTATTTTGCTGTCTTGTGATACTTTGAAATTTGCCAATTCACATATGTACTTTACAGAATTTTGGTGATATTTGTTAAATGAGAACTTGGTAGTTCACAGCCTTACTAAGTAACAGCTGCGGCTTTAACAACACTAAGAAGAACTTAAAAATACTGTAGAAATAAACAATGAGTTCTGGGGGTCCATTTGTTTTGTAGGTGGACATTCTGGAATATTCTCATAACATCACAGTTGGTTATTATGCTACCAAAGGGCGGCTGGTGTACTTGCCTGCTGTGGTGATGGACATGCTGGGTGTTTATGGAGTCAGCAATGTCACTGTAGATCTGAAGCAGCACACCTCCAACTTACAGTCTGTGGCAGTCCTGGCCTCCCCATGGAAGCCCCAGCCTGAAGGCTACTTCCAGCTGAAAACAGGCAAGTCACAAGAGGGAAGGATTCCATCATTCTAGAACCAGCCAAGTGGATCCGCTGTTTAAATGCTCCACTGCTGGCTGCTCTGTCATCTCTCAGAGTCCTTGTACATTCTTCAAACTTCCCTGCTCTTCAGATGTCCCATTCCCATGCCTAAACTTTCATAATCCTGGCTTTCTGACTTTCTTAGAAATGGTTCATCGTAGGAGCTTTTCTTCCAACTCATACAGTTTGCGCATAAGAGCACAGAATTCCATATTTTTTTTTCTGTCTTAACAATGGATACTAAGAATTGAGCATCTATAAAATCTACAATTAGGAGTCAACTGGTTCCACATGTCACTGAATCAGAGTTTCCAAGTAAAGACTGTGAAATCTTTCTCTTAAGCTCCCTTGTGATTTCTGATTTGCCAAGTCTGTAAACACAAGACTGGAGAGCCCATTGCAATGGAAACAATCAACTTAAGTAATGCAGGACACTTGATCTTCCCCATCCACAGAAATAGAAGGCATTGAATCCCTCAGGTTATTATTTGTCATCTTTGAGCAGATGTCTACATATTCTAATGAGATCAAGCCACAGTGTCTTTTGCATTGGAGGGAGTCTCAGGTTCAATCATGCTTTTAATTATTCTCTTCCACAAATCATTTTAGGAGCCACTTTCAAGACTATAATCAAACCTTGTCTGATCTTGCTGTTTATTTGCCTAATTTCTCTAACCTAAAAGTCATGCTGTTTTGTATCATGACTGCTATTAAATTTGAGGAACTAAGACATAGAGCTTTGGTGAGCACTGATTTATGGTTCCCCTTCTAGTGCTGCAGTTTGTGAGCCAATCAGACAACATACAGTCCTGCAAGTTTGCCCAGACAATGGAGCAGAGGCTGCAGAAGGCGTTCCAGGATGCAGAGAGAAAGGTCCTCAACACCAGAAGCAACCTGACGGTTCAGGTAAGGAGGAGGGGCTTCAGACTGTATGGTAGACAGGTAGCCCTAAGGCATATGTTGGCAAGAAATGACATGGGTCCCCCATTTCAAAGCTGTCTTATACAAACGTAGTTTTGTATTTTGTTATGTAGACAGTTATGGCATTGGTGAGGATGGCTGGGGTCTGGCCATGACAGGTAGGATGCTGTGTCACTATGAGCCTGCTATGGTTTGGGGATTTATATTTATTTTTCTCAAGTAATGCTCCCTTCAGCCTTTCTAATGAATTTATCATTTAAGAAATGGAACCTGAGTATATCATATAAGATGAATCAAGTATCTCATATAAAATGAATATATGAATTGATTTAATTTTTTTACATTATAGTGTGTGTGTGTGTGTGTGTGATGTGTGTGGGGTCACATGCCACAACATAATGTGGAAGCCAGAGGACAACTTGTAGAAGTTAGTTCTTTCCTTCAACCATGTGGATCCTGGGGACCAAACTCAAATTGTCATGCTTAGTGGCAGGCATCTTTACCTGCTGAGCCATCTTGCTGGCCAATGGATTGATTTTAAATGAGTAACTCCTCAATATTTGCCTGTTCTGTGATTTTTCATTGAGTCCAGATATCAACACAAACAATAATCACATGCAAACAAAAACACACCCACAGACATACACCTATATCTCTTATAGTGAGGACTTTCTGTCTTCCAGGAACTATGCTTAGTGGTTTACAAATATTTTTCTGTATCATACTCAAGATATTCTGAGATATTTTTATCTCCATTTTATTCAAGCAGAAACTGAAATTATGAAACTTCCAGAAGATCACATGGTTGGAAAAGAATGAAGCAAAGATGTGAGCCAAAACTCTGTCTTCTTACCCACTAAACTGTACCAGCACTGATGTGCAGTGCGTGGATTCTTTCCCAAGGAAATCCCGTTCCTGGTACACCATATATTTGGCTTCTCAGCTGATAGCACCGAATGTCTTTTTCAGACCCATTTTTTTCTTGCAATTATGTAGAAAACCTCTCAATAAGGATAGATGCTTCTCAGTGATATTCATCCAGCCCTCAATTGCTCTAATTAATGCTACTGTTCAATGTCTCTGTTTTGACTACTGAACTAAAGCCTTTGCAATTAGACCTGGTGCTTTTGAAATTGACATTTTGCATAAGTGAATTATCAGCAGAGCCAATATGATGTAGAAAACATGCAATTTAATTTGAAGGAGCAGCTTTCCTTTTCTAGACTCAGGCAAAGTGGACAGGAAAGTATCTCATTAGGACTTGGTTCTTATTAGACTAAGATCTAAAAATGTGTCTCAGATCAAGATTTATTTTTTTAATATTTTATTTATTATTTTTTTAAATTTTATGTGTATGCATGTAGGTAAGTGCACCCGTGTTGTGCAATGCCCGCAGAGGACAGGAAAGACTGTCAGATCCCCTGGAACTGGAGTTACAGACAGTTGTTAGCTGTCATGTGGGTGCTGGGATTCAAACCCGGGTCTTCTGCAAGAACAGCCAGTGTTCTTAACCACTGAGCCATCTCTCCAGCCCCTCAGATCAAGATTTATGTAAGGAATGTGACTCAGCTCTAAGGGCAATCATTTTCTTTTGGATTGGAGCTATGGTCCTAACAGGTACACAAACCTAGGTGGTCCTTGACAGCAGAATATACTTTAGTTTTACTCAGGATACAGAGACTTCTTGAGTACCTGCTTTTTATCATACAATAAGAGGGACATCAAGATAAGTAATTTGTCCTTGGCCTCAAGAAACCTTGTGTTGTTGTGAGCTGGTTATGGGCCATCAGATGAAACTTAATCAATCAAGTAATAAACTCCTTGGAAAAGTCTGCAACTATATTTTAGATGCTTGTTGGCATGCTGAAAGCCTTTGAAATTAATGGATATTTGGGTGAATTATTTTATTAATCCCATTTCACAATTGGCTGTGGTCAGTCAGAAGTAACAGAACCATATTTGTTGTCTCGATTTAGCAACCCCCCTCTCGGCCCTTATATCATACATGGATAACTACGTGCTGACCACCCTCTTGGGATTATGATAATGGGGCTGTTTATTCAATTAATCTGTTTTTAATACCTTTTCATTTTGCTCTATTAAATATAATTTATATGGCACCTTGAATCCTTTGTGGAATAAAAGCATGGAAATATTTATCAGAGAGACATTAAAAGAGGGATTTTTCTAAAAAAAGCCTGTAACACTGGTATTAGGGACTAAATTACAATTGCGTTAATGATGACTGAGTTGTGACAGAATCCAAGCTTACAAGGCATAAACAGAAGGCCATGATGGGCTCATCCACCTGAAAAATTCCAAGCTTATTGACTTCAGGCACAACTGGATCCAGGTGCATCACCACTGTCTTCGGGAAGTTCTTTCTTCATCTTTGACTGGCTTTGCCCTTGGCTGGCAGCCTCCTCACCTCTGTTGAGCGGTCCTTGGTACTTTCAGTTCTTCCCTCATCCTTATTGCTTACTATCTTATGGAACTGAAATGCCTTTCTTTCTGTTATTTTATTCCAAACTCTGGAACTTGCTCCTGTTTGTCCTACTGTGCCCATTTCTGGATTGATAAGTTTGGACAAGGAGATGAAATATCCTAGTCAACACAACCTGACACAGTTGCCACTCCTGGAACCTAGATGGGGAGCTGCACCCAAAGCACATGGATAGAGGGGAGAGGGGAAGTGGCTCCTCAGGGACCACAGTGCTGATGTTGTAGGAGGCAGATGCTGGGAGCAAAGCAAACAGCATCTGGTTCATCAGTTTATGGTCTAATTGAGAAAATGAGCCAGCATGAGTGAGTGAGAAGAGATGGGGTCAGAGGCTGGATACATACAAGAGTAAAGGGGTGAGATGCTGGAGAGATAGCTCAGTGGTTAGGAGTGCTTGCTGCTCTTCCAGAAGACCTGAGTTCTCAGCACCCACAGCAGGTAACCTGTAACTCCACCTCCAGGGGATCAGAGGATTCTGGCCTCTTTGGATACCCATGCACGCATGCACATAGCCACACACAGATATGCATAATTAAAAAGAAAATAAATCTTTGCAAAAAAGAGTAAAGAGGTGAGTGTGTACATTAAAGAAGACACAGAAACCTAGAGACATAGCTTGAGTTTGTGGACATAGCTTGAGTTCAGGGAGACCTTAAAATATAAAGGTCTTAATTCCCCCAGTGGGAATTGCAGATTGAATGTAATCCCTGCCAAAATCCCATTCTGGAGGCAGAAACAGGAAGATTACTACAGATGCAAGGTCACTCTGATCTGCACAGCAAGTTCTAGACTGGCCAGGGCTACATAGTAAAATCCTACCTCAAGAAACAACAACAACAAGAAAACCCAAACAAACAGAAATGAAGGAGGGAAGGAGGGAGGGAAGGAAGGAGGGAAGGACGGAAGGAGGGAAGGAGGGAAGGAAGGAAGGAGGGAAGGAAGGAAAAAAGAAAGAAAAGAAAAGAAAGAAAGGAGGAAGGAGGGAAGGAAGGAAAGAAGGAAGGAAGGAAAAAAGAAAGAAAGGAGGAAGGGGGAAGGAAGAAAGGAGGGAAGGAAGGAAGGAAGGAAAAAAGAAAGAAAGAAAAGAAAGAAAGGGGGAAGGAGGGAGGGAAGGAAGGAAGGAAAGAAGGAATGAAGGAAAAAAGAAAGAAAAGAAAGAAAGGAGGAAGGAGGGAAGGAAGGAAAGAGGGAAGGAAGGAAGGAAAAAAGAAAGAAAAGAAAGGAGGAAGGAGGGAGGGAAGGAAGGAAAGAAAGAAAGAAAGAAAAGAAAGAAAAGAAAGAAAGAAAGAAAGAAAGAAAGAAAGAAAGAAAGAAAGAAAGAATCTTAGTGTTTATTTTTAAGGCAGGGTCTTCTGTAGACTTATCTGACCTGGAACTCATTATGTAGACTTGCACTGCCATGCCTAGCCCAATGGTTTTGTTTTTGTTTTTTTAAACAGAAGTAGAGAACTCCATCCTGGAATTCAAATGGAACCTTAAAAGACCTTGAAGAGCAAAAGCAATCTTGAGAAGGAAGGACAAGTTTTACATTTCACACTTTCTGATTTCAAAACTTAATAGAAAGCTATGATAGTCAAAATAGCTTGGTACCAACATAGACAGACATACCATACAGACCAGTGATCTATACAGAGAGACCAGAAACAAATCCACTTATGCAGAGTGAAATGGCATTTTGCCAAGACTGGTCCATGGGGGAAAAAGACAATGAATTGGGAAAAGTGGTTATCTGTATGCAAAAGAATGTAGCTGAACCCTTACCTAGGAACATTAACCAAAATTAACTCAAAAATGGATCTGAGACCTAAGTGTAAGAATTAAACCTAGAGGGCACACCGTGCATAGAAGAAATTTTCATGACCCTGAATTATTGGACATGATACCAAAGCATAGGGACTAAGAGAGACATTACCTCATCAAAATTAAGAACTTTGACCATTGAAAGATACTATCAACAGAGTGACAAGCACCTACAGAATTGATACAAAGTGTACAAATCACCTCTGTGAGTGGTTAACATCCAGAACATACAGACACATAACGAATTCCTGTGATGTGACATTAAAAAAAACTTAATTAAAACTGGATCCTGGGTTTGAGTCCCATCGCCATAAAGAGAGAAAAGCAGGAGGAGGAGGACAGGAGGAATGGAGGGAAGGAAGAAATAAAAGGCGTTGAATGATGAATATTTAATTGTGAGATACCATTTCACATTTATTAGGATGACTAGCTCAAAAGCAAAACCAAACCCCCAGAAAATAATAAGTGTTGGTGAGGATGTGGAAAGATTAGAATAGAAATAAGGACTGAAATTTTTATTTACTACAGTGCTGCTGATGAAACCCAGGGCCTTGAACATTTGAACATACTAGGCAAGGGCTCTATCACTGAACTACAGTACCCTCAGCTTTGAAAATGATCTTTTAAGAAAAAAATTATTATTATATTATGTGTATCTGCATGTGCACACAAGTACAGGTGCCAGCAGAGGTCTGAAGAGGGCAATGGATTCCCTGGTGCTGCAGTTATAGGCAGTTGTGAGCACCAGACATGGGTTCTGGTCACCAAATTCAGTTCTTCCTTAACTGCTGACTCTCTCTCCAGCATCTGGTGGAGACTCAGAATTGTCAGGAAGAAGTGCTTTTCTGAGTATCTTGGGACAGTGGTCTGAACAAGTGACTGAACCACATTCCAGACAAATTTTCCAGAAAGAGAGTAGAAGTTGATCAGAACTGTTGGTGCAGATGACCCTTAACCATGGGACTATGGCTCTGAGATAGAGAATAGAGAGACAGCTGCCATGTGTGTGGAAAGTGAGTAGCAAAGCAGAGAACTATTCGTCACAGCTTTGTTCAAAGCCAGGAGTGAGCAAAGCTATAGAGATGGCACCTCAGTATAAAGGGCCTGGAAATTCAGGTGGCAGCTAACCACCAGGTAGGAAAGACAGGACTCAAAGGAAGAGGACTTGAGAGTTCAGTAAAGACACTGTATGAGTAACTTTTTGCTGCTATGATAAAATACCATGACCAGAAGCAACTTAAGGAAGAAAGTTTATTTTGGCTTACCGTTCCAGAGGGCTAGCCCATAATAGTGAGGGAGGCAAGGCAGCAGGAAGCTGGGAGATCACGTCTTCAACCACACACTGGAAGCAGACACTGAACTGGAAGTAGGGGAAGTAGGGTGAGGCTATAAACTCTCAACCCCCACCCCACCCCAGTGACATATGTCCTCCAGAAAAGCTCCACCTCCTAAAGGTTCCAAACAGTGTCATCAACTGAGGACCAAAAGTTAAAATAGGTGAGCCTATTCTCATTTAAATCACCATATGCACCATTAGGACATGCAGCAGGGACAGCTCAATACCCAGGCTGTGGTTGGGCCCTGATGCCTTGCAGGGAGGATGGCCTGATACAAGCATCCTGACCTCCCTTCTGCCCCATCTCCTTTGCTCACTCAGCATCCTTCAGCTAACATCAGTGAGCAACAGAGCCATTGCATGGTCTTGGGGGCCAGCCTGTGGGATGCTCAGCAGGACACATAGTGGGGCTGCAGCAAGGAGCTCTGGAAAGGAAGGGTTGACACACTACACAGCACCCAGCAAAAGCATCTCACCAAACCCAATTACTTCCTGCTGCTTCCGTTTTTCAAATCTGTGAGATATTTTTATCCATACATTGACCTAGAAAACCTCATTTTTCCAGCAACTAAAAAACTGAATTAGACAAATGTGAGAAGAAATCCATGCCATCGCATCAGTTTTTTTTCCTTGCATTCTATACTGAATTCATTGTTCACAAAGAAAAGTAATTGCTCTCTAAAGAATCTGTTTTGTATTTGTGAATTATGTTTATAATCAGACTAAATCATGCTGCTCATGACACCAGATATATATTCCTTTCTTTTCTATCTGAAAAGTCCCTGAACATTTGTGCTCATCTTAAATTAATATCCCTATGCTTTCTTTGTTTTTTATTTCCATGATTATCAAAATCACTCAAGACAATTTAGCCACTAGAAAAGACACACTAGGGGTTAAGAACCAGAAGTCAAACTACTCGGATTCAAATCCTGACTCTGGCACTCAATGAGCTGTGTGACCATGGGCAGATCCCTCAATCACTCTGGGCCTGAGTTTCATCATCTGTAAAAGGCAGTCCTAACTGGACACCCCTCCCAGGGCTGGGTGAAGATTGAGATGATGTGTCCACTGCATCCCAGTGCCCAGCTTGCAGCTAGCGATCTGTAAGCAATGACTTGTATTCCTGTCTCCTCCTGGCTGTTTCCCTGCTGTCCTTCCATTGCAACCCATCACCTGTGTTGGAAGTTCCCCTCCTTTCATCCATGACACAGACCCTCACCTTTATTTGGCTCTCCCCTTTGCTCCTGTGTCATCCAGATCCTGAGCACATCCAACGCCTCCCAGGCCGTGACCTTGGTGTATGTTGTGGGCAACCAGAGCTCGTTCCTCAACGGCACGGTGGCCAGCAGCCTCCTTAGCCAGCTCTCCGCTGAGCTGGTGGGATTCTACCTCACCTACCCTCCACTCACCATCGCTGAACGTAAGTTCGTCTGCTTCCGCCTCACATAGAATGGCTCTACAGTTTTCCCTGACAGCCTTCCTTCATCCAGCAGAATGTCTGTTGTGCCAGGCCACATGATGTTATCTCGAGCATCTGGAAAGTGCAACAAATGGGGGTTGAACTGGTGAAAAGTTCTTTGCACACTGAAAGAAAGCCCTTGCTTGATTTCTAAAATAAGCCTATCAGGTAGGTACCAAACTAGAAGAGAAAATCGAGGCCCCAAGAGGGTTCGCAAGAAACCGGCTTTCCCATAGCTAGTGGGACAAGGAAACTGGAATGGGAGCCCCAGCCCCTGTGTTCTGAGCTTACAGCTCTGCCTTCCAGAGCATCTGTCCTTGGGGCAGTCCAGGTTGCCATGGTTTTCTCTCCCCTCTGCAAATGTTCCCAGACCTCCAGGTCCTGCTGCCTGAAGACAGCATAATGCAAACTATTTATGATCAGCATCGTGACTTCACTTGATGAAGTCCCTGGTAGTCTGAGGCCTCGGCTCTCCCTAACATTTGTTACATAATCCTCATTATTCCCCAGTCAACATGGACTTTGAAGACAGTGCAGCCCACATTTTGTCCTAAACACTTACTGAGTAGCTAAAGGAAATGAAGTTGTTCCCTAAATTTAGTTATTTTTGCATTTCACAAGGTCATTGGGCAAAAAATTTTTATATATAAAAACAACACCTATGGCAAAATCATCACATAATTTCCTTCTATGGCTGTTTTTGATGCTATTAATGAGATAATAAGCGGGAATGGTACACTTGTGAGTGAGCAGTCGATTAGAATTTTTTGAATGAGTGTTTACTGGCAAGCTTTAGCAAACTTCCAAGTAGCAAGAAAAGATGACTATAAATTTCATGAAAAGATTATGTCATATAAGATAGCATTATGTCACACTATAGTATAGCATATGGAGAATTTATATTCTTTTACCATCTTGATATTCTGATAACAAAAACGGTTGAGATTTATTGAACAATAAGGGTTGGGAAAATGGCTCAGTTGATAAAGTGCTTGCTTTGCAAACTTGAGTGCCTGTATTCACATTCAATCCCTAGTACCCATGTTAAAAAAAAGAAAGAAAGAAAGAAAGAAAGAAAGAAAGAAAGAAAGAAAGAAAGAGAAAGAAAGAAAGAAAGAAAGTCAGACATGATAGTGCATGCTTTTAGTCCCAGCACTTGGGAGACAGAGGTAGGTGGATCTCTGTGAGTTCAAGACCAGCCTGGTCTACATAGTGAGTTAGAGCCCAACTGGGGCTACAGGGAGACCCTGTCTCAAAAAGAGCAAAAAAGGTAATACCAGTGCCAGTCTAGTCAAATCAGTAAGTTCCAGGTCCAGTGAGAAACTCTGTCTCAAAAAATAAGATGGAGAGCAATTGAGGAAGACACCTGACATCATCCCCTGACCTCGCACACATACAAATATATATACACACACACACATGAGCATGTACGTACATATACACAAGAAAAAGATTTAATGAGCTATATGCCAGGCAGTACACTAAGTCCTTTACATGTGTGAGGTCTGGTAGTCATCACACTTGTGAAGCAATATGAGACCTTTTGCACCAAGTACTGGAGTACCACATTTAAGCCCTTAACACTGGAGATACCCTTCAAGAGACAAGCATTTCTTATGACCTTAGCAGTGTTGGATAATCTGTACCGAGGAAGCCCCAGCTAAGACATGCTGTCACTCTGGGTCTTGGTGCTAAAGTCATTTTAAGAAGGTTTAGATGGAAAACTTCAAAGAGCAGAACCCCACAAGTGCTGAAAACTCCTTCCATGAAAGTTGGTCCTTTCCTGAGTCTTTGAGTTTTCTGAACAGTGAGGTAGCTTGGTCTGTATATCACAGAGCTCCGAGCAATGACAGGGCAGGACTTTGTACTTGCCAGCTTCCCACTTCTCTGTGCTCCCCTCAATAATTTCTATTCATAAAGCTTACAAAAGAAATTTTCTGTTTCTTACTCATTTTAGCATTGGAATATCCCAACCTTGATACATCAGAAACAACGAGAGACTACTGGGTCATCACAGGTAAACTCTTATTTTTGTTTTTCCCTCTTCACACCATTACATTGGTTTGTCTAAAACTGTGTGCCATTTGGTGTTAGGACTGACACTTTTTTCATATTTTATTATTGTTTTTATTTTATGTGTATGGGCGTATTGCCTGTATAATATATGTAAGTGCACCTGTGTCATGCAATACCCATGGAGGTCAGCAGAGGGCATCCGATCCCCTGGAACTGAAGCTACAGATGGTCGTTAGCCACCATGTGGGTGCTGGGAATCGAACCCAGGTCCACGAGAGCATCTAGTGCGCCCAACCGCTGAACCATCTCTCCAGCCCCCAGGACTGGTACTTTTCTTTCTTGCAAATCAAGGAGTTCCTTCTGCAGGACTGGAAGGGAATAAGCTAAGAAAAGACTGAAGATGGCTATTGATAAGTAATTTGGAAATGGTACCTTGAGGGTTGCATCCTTAGCCTATCACAAGCAACATCATTAATGTGTGACATCTGGGGCATGTCCATATGAAGTGGTTGTCTGGGTAGATGGCAGGCCTTTCTGCCCTACCCTCCAAAACCCACACGAAAGCCAGAAGGGCCAGATGTGTACTGCTCCTTCTCTGGCAACATGTCCCACCCCCATGCCAATCTTGGTGTGTCCTGATGGTGAGAGTGAGTGGAAGTAGAAATACAAGACTGCTCTGGTGGCATTTTGTTTCTTTTCCTTTAACATTTTGTAGCTGAACGTCATGAAACAGGAAAAGCATTCTGTTTATGTTTTTCAAAAGCCAGACAGTGGCTCTAAAAATGAGAAAAACAAGGATTGGGAGTAAATGGGGAAGACAGATGTTTGTAGGAGGAAAAGTGGCCAGCTAGCCATCAAAGGGAGGACATGGAGCCATGCATTTGCTGGGGCTGCTGTAACAAAGCACCACACAGTGGGGAATGCAGACAACAGAATTCTTGATATTTTGGAAGTCTGAGATCAAGGTGTTGATGAGTTTGGTTCCTCTACCCCTCTCCTTGGCTTGTAGTTGGTTACTGTTCCCATTTGTTTCCACGTGGTCTTCCCTCCGAGCTTGTCTGTGTCCTAATTTCCTCTTATAAGGACACCAGACACATTGGATTAAGGTTTACCCTCATCACCTGATTTTACCCTCATTACTTCTTTAAAGACCCTCTCTCCTTCTGTTGCCTTCTGATACACTGGGAGTTATGACTTGCATATGTGAACTTGAAGGACACAGTCCAGCCCGTCATGAGGCAGTAGAAAGATCCTGAAAGGCATGGCAATGTATCTGGGTGAGCAGACTGACCTCAAACTCCCTTCCCTGCTCCATCTTTCCCTCATTGCTTTTCCAAATAAGTGGTAGGTGGGCTGCTTCCTAAAATATCAGCCAAGTAGTTCATGACCTGCTGGATGAGTCCTGCCAGGACTTCTAGACCATTTTAACTGCAAAGAAGGCAAACTAAAGAAACACATTTTTAACAAATTAGAAACCACCCTACCAGGATGTAAGCCTAAGAGAGAATCAGGGCTAACCCAGCAACACATTTCTGAGCCAGCAGGTTATGTAATGATATAAATGCGTGTTTCTTCCTCAAGGAACAGAGTCTTTTCTCCCTCACAGATATCCACCCGCCCCCCTTCTCTGAACTTTAAAGGTCTGTGTCCGGTGATCACACATCTACTCTTAAATTCAGACTGTCCTTGACAGCCACTAGTGTCATCCCCCTCCCCCACCTTATCTTCCTATGCCTTGCCCTGCCTTACTTTAGTAGTGTAGCCTTAAAGGAAAGCCATGCACGTACTATTGTTTCAGGGCTCCCCTTGGGCTTACCCCTGCACACTCACTCATGTAAACCTCCTTCTTCCTTGCTGTCATTGCAGTTGATGGTCATGACAGAATGGCCTCTGTCTGGGGTCAGTTGTACCAACTGATTAGTGTTTGGAAGGGCCTGGAACCATGTTTGGGGATGACCCTTCTGCCTTCCCTGGACCACTATCTAAATGCCTGGGCAGTCACTGCCAACTGACCCCATCGTGAAAAAAAAGGATGGTGATTAGAGCGTGAGATAAGTTTGCCCAGCTGTGGCCCTCAGACCCATCACCACAGGCTGTAGCCTCTGATCAGTTTCCAGCAACTTCCTGTTCTGTAGTTTGCATTACAAACCCTGCATGCTTTCATGGTTTCCAACCAGACTTAGATTAAATATGTTTGTACGTTGTACACTTCCCTTCTCAAAGAGGGTGGGTTCTTCCCTTATGGAAAATCACTGACTTAAGGTGATCCCTGGAGTCTCTCTTTATAGATAACCTAAGGGCCGTCCTGCCATCCAGGGATACTATAGCTGGGTTTATAGAAATGAAACAAAATAGAAATATCCAGATTCAATATTGGTGTCTAGGAACTGGAGAAATAGCTCAGTTGGTTAAGCGCTTGCCATACAAGCAGGAAGACCTGGTTATATCCCAGAACCATGTCAAAAAGCTGAGCATGGTCATTCCAGCATTGAAGAGGCAGAGACAGGCATATCCTGGGGCTCACTGGCCAGCTGGCCTAGCCTAATTGGTGTGCTCCACGCCCAAGTAAGAGACATTGTCTCAAAAACAGGGTGGACTGCACCTGAGGGATAATACCTAAGGTTGAACACACACACACACACACACACACACACACACACACACACACACACACTATTGGTGACTAACAGGTAAGAGTCCATCTTGGGTTTATGCATCTGTCTTTATTTCATTCATCAAAAACAAAAAAAATCCCAGACCCAGTAATAAATGAATTGCTTTTGTTCTCACCTTTGGTCTTTACTAGTGTGTTCTTGAGCCAGTCTCTTGGGTCCTCTGGGACTCACATGTTCACCTGTAGAATGAGGGAGAGGCATTATCTGAGCACAAAGTCTCTTTGAGTTTGAATATGTGGGATTTAACCACAAATGAAACAATTTAGCCCAAGTACAGGAGGCTGATGCCTGAGTGATATGTGCATCTTAGAGACCAGTGCAATGGCAAAGAAAATGAGAGGGGAGATGTCACAGTCATGGAGTTTTTGGACCAAATTCCTCTGATGAAGCTGGGAACTTTCATGCTTCCTCTGTACTGAATCTGTGGTAACTGGGGTTGGCTAACTGAGAGGGCCCTGGATGGTGAGCTGAGGTTCTGTGCACACCCCCTCCACTGCCTTCCATGTACAGATGACCAGGGAGAGCCATGATCCCTGGGAGAAGGGAGGGCACATTCTGGGGCATGGATCCACACTTTCCATATATCTTCCTCTGATAAGAATGTACCTAGCAAGAAGGGGGCACATGTGACAATAGCTACCACTTAGTGACATCCTATTAAGAACCTTATAGCACCACTGTTAGAAGCATTATTTGCTGAATTATCTGCTCTTTATAATTAGAGGTTACAATCAGGACTAGAGAATGTTCTGATAGGGGACTAAGGCCCAGAGAAACTACGCGCCTTGCCTTAGGAAGGGGAGCCAACACTCAAACTCATGCCCCTGCTTCCGACCCACAGCTTCACCCAGCTCACAATTCCATTCTCTTTGGAGAGAACTGCAGTAACATTCATGAGTTGCCCAGGCTTGATCCCTGTGTGTCTGTGAGTGCTTCCCACAGTCTCCTGCACTTACTCAGGCATTTTTTTAAAAAGAACATAAAGTAAAATGTTACATTTTAAATGTACAGTTCAGTGGTAAAAAGAATGTCCACCGTATATACAACCATCACCATTAACTACAGCTAGGACTCTTTCTATTGCCTTTGTCTGTCTGCCTTTGAACTGTGGTTGAGATTCCCATAAACTAATCCTGGGATGCCCCCTCTCTTCCTCTTGCCCACCTGTCAGAAGAGGCCAACTTAGAAGTAGTATTTCAGTGATTTGACCTGTAATTTTACTAGAGGGGGTGACTTTGAACCAGCAAGATCACAGGCTTTCCTGTCTGGGGTGAAAAACCCCTGTGGAACCCAGGGAGTCCTCTGGGGACTGACATCGTGGGAACAACACAGCGGTGTTCATCTGTCTTTGCAGGTACTTGACTGAAAAATGAGCTGGTAGTATCTCATAAGGGCCCTAGAGCTGTTTTATACCCTCCAAGGGGATTAGTTGGCATTTATGGCTTCAAAGAAGTAATTCCAGAGACCCGGCTGTGGGTTTTATTTCTCTCTTGATCTGTATCAATGTCTCATCTTTGGCTGCTTGGTCTGGCCCTGGGTAGATGTGATTGTAAGTGCTGGCTATGGTCAGTGCCCTGCTGGACTAGCTACCACAAACACAATTCACTCTCTATGCATAGCTGTCCCCATATCTTGGTGAAGGAGTAGTATCAATGATGCTAGGCAGAACTATGGTAGAATGAACTCAATTAAATGAAAACTCTCTGTTCCATTCCCAGTCCTTGTTAAGTTTTGATCTCTATATTTAAAAATTGATCATCAAGGGGTTAGAGAGACAGTTCAGCAGTTTAGGGCATTTACTTTCTTGCAGAGAACCTACATTCCATTCCCAGCACCAGTCACAACTGCTTGTAACTCCAGATCCAGAAGTTCTGATACCCTTTTCTGGCTTCTGCAAGTTACCTGAACTCACATGTACACAATCCTACATATAGAAATATGCATGTACATGTAATTTAAAAACTAAATCTTGGGCTGGAGAGATGGCTCAGCAGTTAAGAACACTGGTTGTTCTTGGAGAAGACCTGGGTTCGAATCCCAGCACCCACATGGCAGCTAACAACTGTCTGTAACTCCAGTCCCAGGGGATCTGACAGCCTCTTCTGACCTCTGTGGGCATTGCACAACACAGATGCACTTTACCTACACGCAGGCAATATACACATATACATAAAATAAAAATAATAAATAAAATTTTTTTAAAAAACCTAAATCTTAAAAAAAAAAAAAAATCCCTGATCATCAGTTTTAGCACCTAAAAGCTTTTGGTGTGACTGTGTTTGAAGGCACTGTTTGCAGACTTGAGGTGAAACATTGCTTCCCAAGAGATGTAGCTCAAGGGCTAAACTTTGGGCACAGACGGAAAAAGGCAATTGTCCCCATAGAAATGGACAACAGCAGGCCTAAAAGGCCCTAGTGCTCATTACAACCATCTCTCATGCACTGTGTCTTTCCTATGGATCCAGACACACTAGGTATTGGCTTCTGAAGCCTAGCCACGGAGAGGAAAGGGCAAGAAGGGATTCCATGCACCTTCCATGCACCAGGTACATGCTTGATGCATCCTGTCTCCTTGATCCTTAGACCCTGTTGGGCATATGCTTGCTATGAGGTATACTAACTCAGGGACTCCAGTGGCTTGCTGAAGACTCCACAATTGACAAGAGCCAGAATGGAAAGAAAGCCACTCATTCCATTAAGTTGTCCCATTCTTCCATGGGAGAGGGCCTGAGGGGCCCTGGGCAGCTTATGCTAAGCAACAGAAGGATCCCACCCAGGAGGGAGAGATACGGACATTGAACAGAATCATTTGCCTGGATATATAAGCTTGAGTTCCAGGTTGGAGCTGGGATTCCTCAGCAAAGCTCTTGAGAAAGAAAAATAAGCCATGAGCCAGGGCTCCCAAGTGGGAACCAACCCAATCCCCAATTAGCTGCACCTGCAACTGTTCTGTGTTTCCATATGGACTCTTCACAATGCATCTTAAAAAGTTTGGGTTTGATGCAGCAATATTAGAGATGTCACAACTTACAGAGGAAAGGTGCATGTTTTGGAGTCACATGGGGTTGGATTTGTGTCCTGCCTCTTCTGGTGACTAACTATATAGCCTTAGGCAAGACACTAACCTTTTCAATATCTTTAACACTTGGATAATGATTACTACTAACTCATGTGCTGCCATGGAGGAGAAGTGAGATAATGTTGAGTAAGCCCCAATGTGAAGTGGGGCATGATGGCCCTTTGTGGCATTGCAGAGCAGGCGGTCTGGGCTCTGAGCTTCCCCTCTGCCTTGTGCATCTTCAGTACTGCAGGGCGTGGACAACTCGCTGGTGGGCCTGCACAACCAGAGCTTTGCCCGGGTCATGGAGCAACGTTTGGCCCAACTGTTCATGATGTCCCAGCAACAGGGCCGGCGGTTTAAACGGGCCACCACCCTGGGAAGCTATACTGTGCAGGTAGGTGTGTGCGTGTGTGTGTGTGTGTGTGTGTGTGTGTGTGTGTGTGAGATGGTACTGGAGTTTTCCAATGACTGTGGGAATATGCTTCTTGGAATTAAATAACTGCTTGTTTCCAGAGGTACATCCATGCTGAACCATGCTGCTACATCTGATTAAGCCACTTGATCAACACAACTCTGAAGTTTTAGGAGCTGAGGATCCTTATCATCTTCCTCCATCATCAGTAACTGGACTGCCAGGAAAAGAGATTTCCAAACAGAGTCCACACTCATGCAGGCATTTATAAAACAAAAAGTTCTGTTATCTATATTTACTCAATTACAAAAAGAACCCTCCAAACTTATGATGGGCATAAGTGGGGGAGATGTAACAGGCACTGGTGTTGCTCTGCCCATTCCTCTTCCTTTCTAAGTATGTCACCTGGAACTCAGCAGCCAGCCTTGAATCTGTACTGCAGGGCTGGTTCTTGAAATGTCAGAACCTCCTTTGTCCATGTTATGCTGGCTAAGGATGAGCCAGTGGTGGAGCCCAAGTACCCCAGCTCCCTCTCCTCTTGGCTAGAGGAATTCTGAAATGTGTATTTAAGATTAAGCTCTCCAGAGCTTTCCCACAGAATTGAGTCTTAGTCACTCGCAGTAACTGGCATACTAAGGCACCCTGTGTCTCCCTTCACCTTCCTGTCACTACCTCTCAGAGAGACCATTCATTTCTCTGAATTGGTTTTTGAAAGAATCTAGTCAAGGCAGCAGCCCTCCCCATGCGGCTCATCCTGCCTCTCTAGATACCTTATCCAGTTCCTGTGAGAATGGGAGTGTCTCTAGCATATTTGAACCAATCCAAGTATCTTGACTATCATGAACTTTACCAATGAGAACCTATCTCTGCCATTTGTTATGCTAATTAATGAAGCTCTGCTGATCTTGGTATCAATTACAGGTATCCTCATGGTAGTGTGGCCTTCTTAATGAGAAATTAGCCAGCTTCCCCTGGAATGTGAACTCCTGATTAATAGCAGGCCACATTTCCATAAGTGCATAGTGACACTGTTTATGAGGAAACTGCAGATCTTAACACCATCCAGCTGCAGATCACATCCCTGTGAAATCATGAAAGCCAAGCCATCTTTTCTTCCTCAGAGAGTTGTATCACATTCAGGATGGACTCTCCTCAGCCCCTTATTCAAAGTCATGAATAGGGTCCCTTGTCCTATTAGATGTTGCTTTGGTTTTGAAAGTCTGCTCTGTGACAACCTATCACTAGATAAAAGGATGGTTTATTTCATGTGCCAGATTTGGAATTTCCTCTCTGATTTGTTTCATGTAAACCCTATAGTTCACACTTTGTCCAAAAGAAAGTCACTGGTGACCAGATGACTGAAATGGGATTTGAGTCAATCCAAGAGAGAGAAAGGGCCATCTTACAAGCCTGGTATTACTTGTAAACCTAGCAATTCTGCATCTCTTAGCAGTCCAGAGAGATGGCTTCTCTGTGTTTTCTCAGTGCTCTGTGTACTTGGCCTTGTAACGGTCTAGAAAGTCAGAGTATAGCAGTGTTTGCAAATCTCTACATATAGAGGCTATTGATTGCTTTCAACGTCACTCTTTGGTAATTCTTGGTGAGAGGAAGTTGCTATCAAGTTGGAATTGAGTGACGTTAGAAGATATTTGAATTATTATTGACCTCTGCCAGGTGAATGCTGCCCACCTCCTTTCCATAGTAACATGCCCAAACTTCCCCCGACCCCACCCCTAAATCCACCATACAGAGTTTCTGTCATCCTTCCACTCAGAGTCCTTTGTTTCCAACATGAGGCAAATGTAAAACATGGCTTTCATGAATATAGAGAGTTAGATAGTTGGAATTTAAAGATATTTCTGTAGTTGATGTATCTGAAAAAGTAAGTCCCAAGAAGAACTCTTATGATTAATAAGCAGTTTTTTAAAAAATTTTTGATTCCATCTACAAACAAAGTAATACAAGTTTTAACTATCATTTAGATAGCATCCTTATCTACCAAAAACTAGTCAAATGGTATCATCCATTGTGGATGGAGATACAGTGAAATGGGCACCATCAGTCGCTGGTGTGAGCTTTCTGGGGTTGGGAGGGCATGAGTCATCTACACAAGAACATTTCAGAAGGTCACCAACTGCCTACTAGAAATAACAGAGACAGAGCAAAAAGGTAAAGACAGTATTTTACAGAGAATCTTCAGGAACCAGTTCTAAAAAGTGCCTAGAAGGAGAGGGCTTCCCTGGACAAAGCCCTTTGGGCAAGGCCACTTCTTGTTTTGTCTATTTTGAGACAGGGTCCTGCCATGGAGCCCTGACTGGCCTCAAACTCTTAATCCTCCTGTCTTGGCTTTCTGAGTGCTAGGATTACAGGCATGTGCTACCATGCCTGACAGGGCCACACTTTGAAACTTCTTGAAGATTCCCAGAGGGATATTTGCATACCCAAACTAAAAATGAAAAAAGTCAAGTGGTTTCCAAATTTAAATGTCAGTAAGACCCTCACTTTTTCTAGTTTATAGATTTTAAACAAGGCTACTGCAACACACTTCTATACATTGAGTGCCATACATATCCACTTGACTTGGGCTTGTTGGAGTACAAGTGCTGGTTCATAGGTTTGGAAGATGTTAGTTCCGTGAGAACCTACCAGACCCTTCTCCAAGGAGTTGTATCATTTTGTACTCCCCCCAGCCAGACAGGGAGTTCTGGTTGCTTCACATCTTCCCAACACTTGGTGTTATGAATCATTTAACCACTGTGGGGGCTGGATTGGCATGTCTCAGCATTTGAATGATATTCTCCTCACTGAGCACTCCTTATATATTTACTGGGTAACCAGATATTTTCCTTTATGAAGCATCTGATCAGATTGTTTGCTTATTTTTATTGGTTCATATTAACATTTGTTTTTTACATTGTTATATACAGCATGCATTCAGAAGAATATAAAAATGCAGAGTTTAGGTATATTAACAAAAATAAGCCACAACCCAAAGAGTGAGAACATCATTCCTGCCTTCTTCTCAGAAGGTGTTTTCTCTAGAGCTATGGAGAGATGGCTCAGTCAGTCAAGTGCTTGCTGCACAAGCTGAGGACCTGAGTTTGGATCTCCAGTACCCATGTGAAAAGCAGGGCTCAGCAACATGCTCATGTAACTCCAGGACTCTGGGACAGAAATGGGTGGATTCCAGGGGCTCACAGGCCAACCAGCCAAACTGAATCAGTGAGCTCCAGGTTCAGTGAGTGATGCTATCTCAAAAACTCAGGTGGAGAGGGATAGAGGAAGATACCTGAGGTTGACCTCTGACTTCCACACACACAAGAGCAATGTGCATGCAGATGTGCATGTGGGAGCACACACACACACACACACACACACACAGAGAGAGAGAGAGAGAGAGAGAGAGAGAGAGAGAGAGAAACATTGAATTTTTTATGAGACTTCCTTTCCTCACATTGAAGTTAAGCATGATTCTGAATTTTATATTAACTTATGTCTGTATTTCCTATATAGATTATACCTTCCATATGTGGATCCTTAAAGAGTATTCCATGTAATTTTTCCCAATTCCGACTTTATATACTGTGGTTGTATTCCTCCACAGTGATATGAACAGACACAGTTCACTCATTTTCACTATCCTATATTATTTTATCATGTGACTTTCCATTTATTCAGTCTACTATGAATGACCTTTGGATTTTCAGGATTTTTATTTTTATGAGCAAGTTTCTACAAACATTTTTATATTCTATAAAACAACATCTGCAACCTATACTTAGAAAACATCACATTTATCATTTGATAATTATGAGTCAAAAGTTGAAATCCTAAATCTTCGATCATAAAGGGCAAGTTGAGATTACCAGGCATGCATACATACAAGATGATGCTATGTCAGTATCAAAATCTATGCTTTGTATTTATGTTATCAATGGTTAATTACAAAAGATGATCTAATAATAAATGACTTACGTGAGTTTATGAGGCAGATACTTGAATGCCATGTAGAAAAAAGTGTTTCTGCTTTTGAAAGGCCATTTAAAAATGCCAGTAAAAATGGTGTGGTACAGGCCAGCAGGATGGCTCAGTGGGTAAAGGCACCTGCCGACAAGATTGACAGCCTGAGCTCAATTCCTGGGACCCACGGGGCAGATACAGAGAAGAGAGTCCTGCACATTGGCCTCTGACTCCCACATACTCAACATGGCACACCTGCCTATGAGCATACACATGCAAACAATAAATAGATGTAAAAGCTAGTGAGCCATGGTATCAACAGCACATTTGATGATTTTCTATGATAATAAAGGAAAGCTTTGTGTGGAAAACCAAAGAGTGGAGGAAAAACTCCAAAGTGATAACAGTTCTCTGTTGTTGAAAGCCTAGACGTGAATTTTATTTTATTTCATTACTTGATGCTTTCCCATCCTTTCAAAATGTCCTATCTAAACAGGTATAATTTTTATAGTGGAAAAAAATCCAAAAATGTTATTTTAGAAAAAGAAGTTTGTGTTTCCAAGTACCGCTTTTATCAGAGGTCTCCTCAGTTATACACGCCTTTTATCCCCTTTCAGGCAGTTGCAGATATTTGAAATTAAACATCTTGCTTGGGAATAGCCTCGCATGCCCTGAATTAATGTGGAGGCCTATTTTCAAATGAGGACAGAGCTTGGTGGAGGCTGGGAAACATCATTCTTGCCTCTTCTCCTCCTGGCTTCAAACTGCACTTTCCAGATGTTTCTATTTTTTGAAACCCCCTTTCTCCTCCCAGTCTCCTGATCCGGGGATACCAAGCTTCCTGAGATTGGCTGTAGGCAGGAACACAGAGCTCGATGTCCAGACTGTCCCTGTGGATGCACTAGGCCACAGAAAGCCTCACAGCTGGGTGAGGCAAGCCTGCTGATGGCCCAGGGGCCTATAGGGCTGGTACAAGATGCTCTGGCAACACCCCATCTCTCTTTTTCTGAAAGATGGTGAAGATGCAGCGTGTGCCAGGACCAAAGGACCCAGCGGAGCTGACTTACTACACACTGTACAATGGGAAGCCGCTACTGGGCACTGCAGCAGCCAAGATCCTGAGCACCATTGATTCCCAGAGGATGGCCTTGACTCTGCATCACGTTGTTCTCCTGCAAGCTGACCGTAAGGGGAGAATTTCTTCATTCAATGTTTTTAATGTCATTAAATGTTTTCTGCGAGTCAAGGTGGCCCCCCAAATTCATGTTAATGGTTTTAGAGATAACCATATTTTGGTTCTGGAAAGTTCTTAAATCAATCAGTTATGTTTCTTGTTTGAAGCAATAGATTCTAGTAAAAAGTATATTCTGCAGTTTCTAAATGGAGGTAACGATATTGTTTTGCTCCAAGTGCTACCCACCTCACTTTCCTCCTTGAATGTAGTCCGGCAGATAGCTACAAAAACATCACTTCAGCAGAGAGTGTATTTATATGCTGGGGGAAATAAAGATAATTCGAGCCAATGAACATTTATGGAGTCATGCATGAACTCTGCTTGGTGCTGGAGGACACGCAGAAGTGGGTGACGCCTGGCTCCTGGCTCTCAAGGACAGGGGAGCTGATCCAGGTCCCCAGGATGTAGGGAAGGCAGTGCAATACTGGAACCTGCAGAGGAAGTGTTGCCTTGGAGGGATGTCTGCAACCAAGGGGCAGAGGAAGGTTATTACCAACAGCCTCCCTGTGACAACTGCTGTGCAAGTCACTTCAAAGAGCTGGATTTTCTCACCTCTGCTCTCACTGGGTTGTGTTTATTCCACTCCAAATTACAGCAGAGGAAACTAAGGTTTATATACAGAAAAGTAAAATAAACTACCTACTATCATAGAACCAGTGCTTAGCCAAAATACAAATCTGGATCTTTCTGGCTTTGGACCCATGCTCTTAGCTATATTGTATTCTAAGAGCTCAGTAAAGGCAAAGGAACAGTTCTAGAAAAATATCCAGAGTAAAGAATGCAGGGGGAGAGGTACTAGCTGTGCCTCAAACACAAGTAGTTCAAGTGGCCTAGGGTGAAGAAGCAGGCAGAGGCACTGATGGAAGAAAGGCATGTCAGCTGGGAGACCCAGTGAACGGCAGGGGAAGGATATGGCACATAATATACTGGGCTTTGGGGAGCTATGGAAGATTTCTAAGCAGGAGAGTACCATCAGAAGTACCCATTACCAAGGATGTTAACTGGGAAGTGCTGCCTGGGATGGAAGGAAACAGGAGGTCTAGGGATCTGTGAGGATATTATATTATATCCTAGGCATTGGGGACCCAATCACAGCACAACCAAAGTGGAGAGAGAGAGTATAAAAGTGAGAGATTACATGTGGCATTTTTTGTATTCAGCAACACACCAATCATGGCAATTCATGGAAGGTCAGCTCCCACAGGTTTCCTCACTGGTGTCCACTCTCCCCACAGAGCAACAGGTTGGTGTTCACCCTGACTCATGATCTTCTTCATCCTTCTCTTCCTCCTCCTTTTATCCTCCTCTTCCTCCTCTTCCTCCTCTTCCTCCTCTTCCTTCTCCTCTTGCTTTTGCAGGAGATGGCTGGTGATAGACCATATGTTGTCATGTGTGGCTGGCACATCCTCACAGACACAGCTGTGCCGAGAAGTGATGACAGCCATTCTCTGCAGTCTTGTTTTGGAAATAACACTTTCTACTGTGATTCTCTTCCTTTTCTACTTTCCCTCCCTGCTCAGGGGCTCTGTCCTTGACTCTGGTTAACTTCTTGCTTCCTGCGTTTTGCTGTCTCTTCTCTATGTGGGTTGCCCAAGGTTCTGTCCTCAGCTATCCCCCCCTTTTCTCTCTCTAAAGAATAAATCAGGTACAGGAGTGAAAACCCTTTCACATGCCAGGAGAGAGGTGACAGTGCCAGGCATGGAGAAGTGGGTGATAGAGAATCCTTTGAGGAGCAGACCTGATGGGTCCAGACAATGAATGCTGTGACAGGATGAGGAGGAAGGGGCCAGAGGAATCAAAGGCGACTTGAAGTGTTAGCTTGAGCTCTGGTTGTGACTCTATGTGTTAAGATTCATGAGCTTTGTGAAGCCTGTGTGGGAATGGAAGACATGGAGGTGACATGTTAACTTTGAAATGTCTGCTAGTATGGCGCTCAGAAGAGAGAAACTTGGGAGACATTAAACACAGAGCTAAAGGAAGGAGTGAGAACTCGGGAAGAGGAGTTGAGCAAGAATGGAATCCATGAAATTCCATGTATGGAAGAGTGAGAGTCAGAGGAGGCTGCTGAGGAATGACCAGGGTTGGCAGGAGACCAGGGGCTCAGAAACCAAACAGACAGGAGACTCTCATGGAAAAGTGTGGACTGCTGTGTCCATTTAGATCTTCAAGAGGTGGTATAACAGGGTAGAGGTTAACAGGGTTTGATAGGATGGAAGTTATTAGTGACTCCCACTAGCAGCAGTTTCTGGAGAGAGGTTGGTAAGAAGAGGATCATGATTGGGAAGTTGTGTCAACAAAGGAAGGAAGATGAATGAGGCAGTTGTGGAGGAAGCACATGGAAACCTTGCAGGGAGTTTGGATACCAGTGGGGAGGCTGTGATAAAGAAGGAGGAGGTAACACCAGGGAAGAGAAAGGTTAGACCTATAAGGCAGAGTCCTTAAGTGAACAAGGAGATGGACGCAGTGCACATGTGGAGGCCTCCATGGAGAAGAAGGGAAACAGAGTATTGGGTGCATTTGGTAACCCAAGCCTGAGGATACCTTCTAGTTGATTCTCTTCTCTCAGGGCATCATCAAGTGAAGTTCGCAGCTGAGCTTGAGGCTGGAGGTGGATTTTAGCAGATTGAACTGGTAAGAGCAGTTACAGCAGGCTGCCAGGGCACCCTCCTCTTTGTTTCCCCTGCTGCCTCCATATAATGCCTTCTCTTCTTCCAAACTCCCAGGTCCAGTGCTGGGGAGATAGCTCAGTGGGTAAGAAAACTGGCTAAATAATCATAAGGACCCGAGTCCACATAAAAAGCCACGTGTAGCCATATGCACCTGTAATTCTGGCTTTGTAGGGAATAGAAACAGGAGGATTGCTGGGGCTTGCTGGTCCCCAGTCTTGCGCCAGCTTCAGTAAGAAACCAAAGGAATAAGGTGATTGATAGGGCAACATACCCAAGGTCCTCCTCTGGCCTTATGCACGTGCACAGGCATGGGCACCCAATAACACACATAAGCATACACCACATACATACACACATGCATATATACAAATCCCAGATCTTCCCAGGCAGTCCTCTTTTGTAGTCATCTCTAGAGTCCCCAGACACCCCCACCATGCACTGGGCATTCTCAGCATCCTAACACCTAGCCCTTCCTCTTCCTCATTACTCTGGTCCAGCCACCTGTTCCTTTGGCCTGTTTGTTCCATGACTTCCTCCTTTCTGCTCCAGGTCTGTAGTACATGGGAAAGGGTGAGAAGAACTGGCTTTGCTGAAAGCAAGATGTGAACAAGTGTCAAGGGCAGGGGTTGAGGCCAAGGGACTTGGCTGATGGTGGTTGATGGGGACAGTGGAAGGGGCTGAGGAGAGGCGGATGAGGCTAGGTGCATGGAGCCTTTGGAACCAAGGTGTTGAGGAATGATGAGAGGCTGGACTGAGACTCAGAGGCCAGGATTCAGACCTGTCCTGCCAGCTCCCAAAGTCCCCGCCCTCTGACCCTTCACCTTTGCTTTGCTTCTTTATCTCTTTGTAGTCCACTGGCCCTCTAGCTCCTTTCTACAATAACCCACATGTCCAACGCCTCTTCAATTTCCTTGGTCTCCCCTATTTTGTCTGCAGCAGTAGCTTTCCCAGTGGTTCCCTCTCTGCCACAGTGGCAGTCACATCTTCCGTGCAGCCGCAGCAGCTTCCCTGTAATCAAATGTGCCAACTCAGAGCATCTCACCTTTTTCCTCTCTGTCCTCTATGAAACTCTTGCAATTTAAATGACCACTCATTCCCTTTCACCCTGTGCATGGCCCTGTACTTTTAGACCATATGCCAGTGAATATATTGGGCTAGGATAACTTCACTTGACCCAACTTTAATATCATTTTGACTGTTAACTGAATTTATTAATGTACATAAGATAAATCTGTTCTCTCCTCTATTTAAAAGGAGGTGAATTTTACATCCTGTACTGAAAAGAAAGTCATCCACCTAAGCAATAAAACCAGAGCACATAAATATTCCATTCTTGCTAATATAATTCTTGCTAATTATATGCATATGTGTACATTTGCCTTGTGTGAATGTATTGCTAAATACATATGTGTGTACTTATATAGAGTATACACTGCTGCATTGCACATACTGCCATCAGGATGGAATAGCCTAGCCCCAAAGAGTTATCAGTGATATGTTCCATAGAAGCTCTAAGCTTTAAAAAGATGTTAATGGCATAGAACTCACATATAAATACTGTGTTACTAAGAGCAGCGGCAATTAAGTGTAATGTCAACAGAGGCGCATTATCTAATGAGCTGTTTTCAGAAGTTAATAATGTGATTAATCACTGATTGATACGAACCATGGAAGAAAAATTTTTTGTACTAATAGGATCCAGAGCCCATGGGCAGCCAAATGACAGGCAAATCCTAGCTGATAAGGGACCAGCTGAAGTCAGTAGATGGTTGAAGTCAGAGGAAGGCTGCCTGACTCCTCAGACAGACCATCCCCCACAGTGCTTGCCAGTGGGGCCTTTGGATTCTGGGGTCTAAGTCTTCAGCTTTGCGAGTAGAGCAGCCTTCAGAGTCCAGCAGAGTCAGGAGGACCAACTCATGCTAACCAAACTTACAAAAGGTAAATCTATAAAATACATTGTAAGTAAATTAATTTAAAATATAGACTAGAATTACCATGAAGATGACATTTTTTCCTTCTACCTTATTGATAATTGGGCCTATTAGAAAACCTGTTTGGGGAGCTGGAGAGATGGTTCAGTGGTTAAGAGCACTGATTGCTCTTGCAGAGGACCTGGGTTTGATTCCCAGCACCCATGTGGAGGCTAACAACCATCAGTAACTACAGTTCCTGGGGATCTGACACCTTCTTCTGACCTCCACAGGCACTGCATGACACGGGTGCACTTACACACATGCAGGCAATACACTTATATACATAAAATAAAATATTTTAAAAAATAAAAAGAAAACCTGTTTGGGGAGGGATAGTAGCAGCTTACAGAGCCTCCCTTGAACTTCTAACTGAATACTTACCATGTGCAAGGCCCTGTCACAAGTCCTGAGGATGTTTGCATGAACAACTCACACAAAAATATCCCTATTCTCTTGGATTGACCATTCTAGTAGATGGGTGTCATGGTGAGCAATACTCATGCTGACATGTGCTTTGGAGCCTTGATATCCAAGTGCACCTGAGGCGTGCTACAGAGACATCACCTGGGAGCTTGTAGGAAAGGCAGGATCTCAAGGCTCACATCCAACACAGTGGAGGAGTGACAAAGTTTGAGAGCAGGATGCTGAGTAAGCATAAAAATGAGTCAGCATTGATGGTGAGCAGGGAAGAATAAGTTGGGATGGGGAAATCAAGAGTTGTGCTACAAGATTCAGCAAGATGGTTCAATAGGTAAAGCCACCTGCTGCCAAGCCTGATGACATGGATTCAATCCCTGAGACCCACATGGTAGAAAGAGAGACCCCACTCTCACAAGTTGTCCTCTGTCCTCCAGCCTCTGCACATACACACACACACATGTGTGCACACCAAATGTAATAATTTTTTTAAAAAGAGTTGGGCTCTGGACATACTCAGTTTGTTGTGTCTGATAATCACTTGGAGATTCAAGTGGAGTCTAGAGCTCGGGACTGAAATCCTGACTGGGATCTGGAAATGAATAGCATCATCCCTGAGATGAAGCTTAGAGCCCTGAGTTGTGAGATTGAGGAAAGGGGGAGAGAAGTTGGTTAGCATTAACAGAGTGCCACCAAGCTGGAGCCATCAGTTGTAGCCCACCAGAACAGGCCTGCCATCGGACCCATTCCCCCATCTGCAGTGGGAAAACACTCCCACGGGCAAGTCCTTCCGGCTCTTGGGTTCCTCATCTAGGTTTCAGCAGACCCTACCCTCTCACGACTTCACACAGATGTTTGCTTTGCTTCCTGTTTTCTTGTCTTTGTTTCTGAAAGCTGTTTGTGTTTTTAATTGGACTGAAGTTGAAGTATTTCCCAAGAATCCCCGTCAGTAATCCTGTGAGATGCTAATTTACCTGTCAATGGTGTTTCCTTTATCTTGCATTATCTTAACCCAACTTAACAAAAAGTTTAAAGGTTTATGTAGTGAACACCCATAATAAAATAAAGGATACCTCCTCTTAGAATCCACAGTTAGCATTGTAGTATACTTTTATCATGTAGTGGTTAGTCTGTTTACTCCTCCATTCATCTTTTCCCCATGTATTTCAGCAGAGGTCAACCCTAAACACTTCATCATGCACATCATTGACTAGAATTCAGTACCCATGATGCTTCACTGTAAAATGTAGATTCAATGAGATGTGCAGATCTTGTGTATCATCTGATGAGTTTTGGCAAGTATAAGTATATATACTTACGTGAACCAAATCATTATCACAGTACAGAGTATGACCAAGTCCCTGAAGCCCCTTCTGGGTTAATTCATTTTTGTCCCACTCCCTAAAGGCACCTGCTGTTCTTACAGCCCATCCCCACATCAAGAAGCACTTTGCTTACTTTTTCTTTACTCTGGTTTTGAGAATAGCCTGTTGCTTTTTATTAGACTAAGACGTTTATGAGCTTCCCAGACACCATTTTGGGGGAGACCCATCTGCTCATGTTATAGTGTATTCACTGATCACAAGGTGAATTCACTACGATAGACTCATCTCTTGGTGGCTTGCCTCCCAACTCCAGCATATATGTCTTTATTTATATACTTATTCATGGTTTGTTTTGTGTGTGGTGGTGCATGTATACAGGTGCATGCATCCATGTTCATGCATGCATCCATACCTACACATTCAGAGACCAGAGAAGGATGTTACTTGCTTCCCTCTATTGCTCTCTACCTTATTGCCTCAAGACAGGGTCTCTCACTGAACCAGAAGTTCTCTATTTTAGCTAGACTGGCTGGCCAGCAAGCTCTCCACATCTATTTGTCTCTGTCACCCGATGCAGACATACATAGCAATGCCTGAGAATTTAAATTCAGGTCCTCATGCTTTCAGACCAAGGTTCTTAACCACTGAGCCATCTCTCTAGCCCCTCCAATATATATTTCTAATCATCACATTTTTCTCTCCTTTTTGACCTTTGGATATGACCAGTGAGGAAAACTGACTGATTTGTCTTTTTCCTCCTCCTTCTCTAAATAATAGTGTTGTCTACTGTCCCCTGAGCATCTGCTAGGAACCATACTCAACCACCACAAAGTGTTACCCTCATTTTATAGACAAAGAAAGGGAGACTCGGAGAGCTTGAGTAACTTGCCCAAGGTCATACATCTGTAGAGGCAGAGGTTTTTCAAGCTCCACCTCTTCCTGTCAGGGTAAGGATTATGTTGGGTCGCTACTTGTCATGTGCTTCTCACTGACTCTTTCCCACAGCTGTGGTGAAGAACCCACCCAATAACCTGTGGATCATCGCCGCAGTACTGGCACCCATTGCCGTGGTCACAGTCATCATCATCATCATCACTGCTGTGCTCTGCAGGAAGAACAAGAACGACTTTAAGCCAGACACCATGATAAACCTGCCTCAGAGGGCAAAGGTACATGGGGACTGTGGGGAGGGGCGGGAGCTCTGCCCAGAGGCTCCACCTGCCTTTCCCACTGAACTTCTGAGGCCACCAAGCACCTTCAGAAACAATGTCACACATCCTCATTCTGAAGGGGACCCGTTTCTTCACAATCTGATGCTCACTCTGTCCTACAAATACTTCCAAGTGATTCACACACAGCAACTTTAGTCATCACCATCCCTGTGGGGAAGGACTGTTGTTTTACAGATGGAGAAACTGAGGCATGAACAACCAGGAGCAAGACTTGAAAGACCCTTGGATATCGTTTAATTGTACTTCTTCCTTCTACTAGTGAAAAATAACTTCTTCAACTTCTTCATGGTTACATGGTTAATTAGAAGCAGAACCGATAGTAGGGCCAAGCCTGCTATTGTTTGAACATCCTAACCTCCAGTGCTGGGTGTTAAGACATTGGCCTTTGGGAGGTGATTAGGCCATAAGGAAGGAGCTCCAAGGAATAAGATTAGTGCCTTTATGAAAGAAACCTTAGAGAGTCCCTGGCCTCTTCTACCATGTGAGAATACATGAAGTCCGCAGCCCAGCAGTGAGCCCTCACCAAAGCCCAGCCATGCTGGCGCTGTGATCTGGACTTCAAGCTACCAGAACTCTTAAGAAATATCTGCTTTTCACAAGCCTCTCAGTTAGTAGTATTCTGTTGTAGCAGCCCAAACTGACCAAGGCACAGTCTCTTGGCTCTTATACAATATTCCTTTGATCTTGTAGACTCCCAGAAGTTTCTCTGTTCCACTGACAATGCCACTTTAGCCACTATATGATGGACATGTAATAGAACTGGGCTGGGCAGCTATCAAATGGCACTTTAGTGGCTCCCCTGAAACTTGGCCTAGAGTTCTGTCCTCCCCCTGTCACCAACACATCTCTGCTGTAACCACCTCTGGTGATTGGGAGGGCAGTGAACTGAGGACATCCTGAAGGCTAATTTTCCAGTCACGTAGCTGCTTTTGTGATATTCCCCAAGGGAAATGTCCAAACTGTAATACCCAGTGTTTAAATAACGCCTTACAATCTGCCAGCTCTTCTAGGTCCGTCACCTTGTTTGTTCATCACACAAGCCCTGGGAGGCAGGTCACAGTCTGGGCAGGCTTCATTAGTCTCATTTAACTGCCAAGCAACCTCAGAGAGAGAGAGAGAGAGAGAGAGAGAGAGAGAGAGAGAGAGAGAGAGAGATCAGGACTTGCCCAGTCATGCCACAAACAGCAAAGGAGCAACTGAGGCCCCCACATCCTTGTCTTTCCTCTCTTTCTCTCTCTCTCTCTCTCTCTCTCTCTCTCTCTCTCTCTCTCTCTGTGCATGTGTGTGATATGTACTTGTTAGTACATTTGTGCATACACAAGTATACATGTGCATATGGAGACTAGAGGTTGAGATCAAGTGTCTTCCTCAGTCACTCTCCACCCTTATTTTTTTGAGAGTCTCTTACTGAAGCTGAAGCTCATTGATTCAGCCTAGGCTGGCTGGCCAGTGAGCTTCAGGGATCTGTCCCTCCCTGCTTGTCAGATTTGGAGTTACAGGCATGTGCTGTCTGTCATACCTGGCTTTTACATGGGTTCTGGGGATCTGAACTCAGGTCTTCATGGTTTCATGGCAGGCACTTTACTTCCTGAGCCATCTCCCCAGCCCTCCTGGAACTCCTACATTATACATGCACCCAAACCCTAGATTCTGCAGTGCGTTCCTCTCCCAGCTCTGAACCTCTGAATTCCATCTACCTACAGACATGTGACAGCAAGCTACCCTTCCATCTTACTTCATTCCCATTGCAGTTCATGTCAGCCATGGAGCGTGTCCTTGGGGGGCAGTCACACTGGGTTCTGTTCTTTCTGTGTGATCACACCTCACTTGAGCAAAGGAAATCAAAGGGATTTTTATTGCTTACTAACTGATCCACCTGTTGGGAAGCCATAGCTTGATTAGACACCCGTAACTACAAAGACATCAAACCCCAAAGAATTTAATTTGTTCCATGTCTGTTGACACAGTGTACCTGCTTCCCAGACCCAGTGGGGTATTGGGAAGAAGGGTATAGTGGGACTTGCCAAGCCTTGAAAAATGAGATTGCTCCAAGACAGAGTGTTTCCTTTCCATCTGAGCTTGCTTACAACGTGAGTCTTTTTAGACATAACAAGTAATTACCAGACTAGCAGCTGAGTCCAGGAATGCAAAACATGCCAAACCAGAGTGGAAGTGGCAGCTTTGTGTTAAACCAAAATCTTAATTCATCTGCCGAGATGAGCATCATCCCTTCTGGCTTGAAAGCCCTCCTCAGCTAGAGCAGAGGAATGCTGGTGGCTCTCACAGCTCCTTCCTGTGCCTATCCGGGCAGGTGCTTCCAGAGATACTTGACTGATGTTGCAAAATCAAGCCAACCTGCATGCTCCTGCGTGTGGCTCTGCTGGTGTCTCTCCTGCAATGAGGCTGGGGGAGATACTTATATTTCCAAAGCCCCTTTGTCGCAGAAAGCCAGCAGGGTGGAGCTGCCTGTCACTGCAGCCGTGTTGCTGCAAGTCAGAGATGCTGCAGTATCAGAGCAGCGGCTATGACGCTCACACAACCATGTGCGTGTGTGAGCAGAATTCAATGACCGCCAAGGGACAAGCCACAATGAGAAAGTTAGCCTGGGCCACCAATCCTGAACCTAGGCAGATGGCCCTGGGGATATCATTGCGTCTTTAGAATGCAGGCTGCAGAGGCAGAGGAGTCTGGGGACCCTTCCTGAGATCAGTAATAAACTTAGCATGCTAAACAGAGGAGGCGAGTGAGGCTTTCCTGGGAGCTAAGGCCAGGGTGAGGATCCTACATCTTCTTCTGAGACAAGGTACACAGACACACCCTACTGCCATTGCTGTGAGCTGGGCTTCCACAGGGAGAGTGCTGAGAAAATGCTAAACGCAGTGGGTCAGGCATGCCATCTTTCTTCCTGGGTCACTCCTCTTTATTCTTTGTCAACAGATTTGCAGCCTTTCCTCCCAGTTTTTCCTTCATATAAAGAGAAAATGGCTCCTGGGAGCAGGCATTCTTAGGAGAAAGAAGTTAGAGCCCACCCAGATGCAGGGTGGACCTTAGAGGGTGTGCAGTGGCTGGCTCTAACTACTTGGGACCGGACATCATCCCCTAAGAAGTGTCACTGTTTCCTCTTTCCCATACATTATCTGTATGACCTCAGCAAAGTTATATCACCTCTTTGTGCCTAAATTTCCCCATCTGTAAAATAGGATTAGTTAGTAACAATACTCAGGGATAGGCAGTTGTAAGGATTTAGTGAGTCAAGGTATATAAATTATTTTAAGCTGTGTCTGGTCTCTAACAAAATATTACACGAGTTGACTTTTTTCCAAATTGGCTTTTTTTGTTTGATATGCTTTTTTCTTAAATGGTAATATGTCTGTCTACCTTTGAAATGATGATGATGATGATGATGATGATGATGATTTGTGGTACTAGGATTAAACCCAGTGCTGTGTACATGCCATGCAAGTACTCTGCCACTAAGCTATATCTATCCCCAGTGTGGATATTATTATTTTGAACTGACAGTTGTATAAAATCACTGGATTAGTATTGTATTATTGAGGTTAGGAGTTATTAGTGTGTGTCAGATGAGCAGTTAATTAATCTTAGTTACTTTTCAAATCTAAGGTTGAGCCCAGCCCTGAGGGTCAGAAAAGCGAGGAACTAGTCATCAATTTTCAGCACTTAGCTGAGCTTTTGTGTTCTCCATAAAGTGAAAACACATTTGCCTAGCTTCTGTTAGGGGTTGTTGTAAAAGCAAAAAGGAGGACTGATGTTTTGTGTGCTTTAAGTGCCAAAAACATGTGTGGGATTTTGTGATTAGCCTATTAACAGTGGCCACCCCTTAGCTGTCATTTCTTATTGTATGTAGATGAGTGTTTGCCTGCATGTATGTATGTGTACCACATCCATGCACACCCACAGAGGCCAACAGAGGGTATGAGATCCCCTGGAACTGGAGTTCTGGGTGGTTGTGAGCTGAATTGCAGGTGCTGGGAACCAAATCCAGGTCCTCTGCAAGAACAAGTGGTCCTAACTGTCGAGCCATTTCTTCAGCCCTAACCTGTAATTTCTTATTGTCTCTGTTTCCACACACCCATGGGTGACTCAGTCATCTGAGGATAAGGAAGTATAACGAGTGATGGGTCAAATCTAGAGAAAATGAGCAGAGATGGGAGATAGGACCAGAGTCAAATTGTGCTGTCACTGGCCTCTTGGGAAGTCTTAGCTGTTGGAGACTTTTAGTCCTTCACAGACAAGCCTGAGGTATCATGACAGGAGCCAAGCGAGGCATAGAAGATATCCAGCGAAGATTGTGACTGCAGGGGGGAAGGAGGGATGCAGGATGAATCAATAAACAGTGCACTGTTAGATGGTCTGACATTGAATCAATATAGTCCTGAGTTCAAATGCTGGCTCCATCACAGACCAGCTGTGTGATCTGGGGCAAGTTACTTAACAACTCCAAATCTGTTTCTCCATGCTTAAAATGGAAATTCATAATAACACCCACCTCTGTGAACAACAGTGAGGATGCAATGATGTAATTTATGTAATGCATCCTCTACTGTGCCAACAATGTTGCGGAAAACTAAAACTGAGCTCTTTGAGGGTCAATACCAGTTATTATTCATTTTGTATCTCTAATATCTACCACAATACGGGGCATTAGGTGGTGCTGTTGGAAGAAAGCTGAATAGAATAACAGGGAACATGGGGTTGTATGATGGAAAAAGAGCCAATAGGAAATGAGTCTGGGCAGGTGGGTTCAGCCGGAGGCTTTGAATGCCTTGCCAGTGTGTGGATGCCATAGAACACTTTCCATGAGGGACTGACATGACCAGATGTGGCTTTAAAGGGAGACAACCTTGGAATCCTATCATGGGTGGGCCTAGAAAGAACCCTAAAGGGAACACCCTGACCAGGGCAGGAGATGGCGAAACAGTAGGCCTGGAGAGAAAGAAGAAGCTTCCAGAAACAGTCCAGAAGCTGAATTCAGTTGTGACCAATTGGTTGTTGGAGGAGCAGGAATTCAAATTCTGGGGACATGGTCAAAGTGTCTACAGGCTTCATTCTGCCTCCTGCAGCACTAAGGAAAAGGAGGGCAAAGAGAAATCTTTCCTAGCAGACACTAGCTCAGAAACTCAATCCCAGGTCCTGGCCTCAGAACTGCTACTGGTCACATACAGGTCAGAATGACCACACTTCCCCGACCAATCTTCCCAGGAAATTGGGAGAACCGTCCATGGTGAATCTCCAGGTGTCTCCACCAAAGAATCTTTGTTGGATATTCTATAAAAGTTCATCCTGGGGCTACAGAGATGGCTCAGCAGTTAGGAGCACTGGCTAGTCTTGTAGAAGACCTGAGTTCAAACCCCAGCATCCACCTGATGGCTAACCACCATCTGTAACTCCAGTTCCAGGAGGTCCAACACCTTCTTCTGTCTTCCACAGGTACTGCATGACATGGATATATGTACATACATGCAGGCATAACACTCATACACATATTCTGTTACATAGTAGTGAGGGATGACAGAATACAGATTTTTAGATCTGGATCAGGGCTGGGGATGTAGCTCAGTGGTAGAGTGCCTGCTTAGCATGCATTGACTGTAGGTTCAATTGCCCAGTACCACAAAAGCAAATGAAAAAGAAAAAGAAGAAAAACCCCCAAACCAGCCTGGAACATTCCTGTGGTACCTCTTGGCCTCATTAGCTGCCAAAGGAGGAGCTTCAGCTATAACAAGTTCAGATAGAGTCTACCAATGTGTCCAACCTGCAACCTGTGAGCCACAGGCACCCCAGGATTGCTATAAATATAACCCAACACAAAACCGTAAACTTACTTAAAACAGTATGAGTTTATTTTCATAATTTGACTGGATGGTTCTTGAGTGTGAATTTTGTAGATGTCAATGTCATGTCATAATATCAAAAGGTTGGACATGTCTAAATGGTAGCAATTGAGCTTCATCTCCACATTTTCTTGGAGAAAACTGGACTGTGATTTATCAGGAAGGCAAATAGTAATATCTAATAAGGACTAAGCACTTACTGTACATTAGACACTTAACCCAACCTTGAATCTCTGACTTAATCCTTGTTGCATTGTCTTCAGGTTGCTTACATGCTGCGTTTATCTACATATATTTGCATCCTCTTAACAATTATTCCCTTACAGATTAGGAAACTGATGTCAGAGAATAGCAATCACTTACCCAAGGTCACACCACTAAGATGTAGTATCAGTGGACTCTGATACCTGCAACTCTCAGTCAGCACACTGACTGCCTCAGATCTACACAGCCCTGCTTTGAGGTAGAAGGCAGAATAGAGACACAGCCAGGAACAGATTCAACAAGCCTCTTGGTTTTCATGACCCACTGATAAATGGCTGTTGAATTTTGTTCACAGCTGCTTTATCTACTTGGGATTTCGGACATTGAGAAAGCCTTGCTAATTTCCCAGGGTGGATGATATCAGAGCCAGTGTGCTTCAAGGAGAAGTCTGGCTGAAAAAGTGATTCACTAAATCCTGTGTCATTGTCCATGATTGTGTGGCTTCATGCATGGTAACATGTGTTTTCAGATCTTCCCTTTGCTTTACAAAGGGGATGGTTATAAGGCAAATAAGATAATCTTCATTTCTCAGTTAAGAAAGTCAAACTTCCTAGTCCTGCTGATTTGGTAAAGTCACATACATGCTGTTACACAGGGGTAGCCAAATATTTCTAGGCAGGGTATGATACAGGCTCTGTGATTATCTTAACATATCCAAGATGAGCATTCATCATTAACAGTATCTATTGATTTATCTATATATTCAAGGCCTAACTAAAGCCCTTGACAGAAGTTTGTTCTTGAACCCCTGATTGTACTTTGTTTGCACTCTCCTTTTTTTTGGTATTTTTGAGACAGTCTCCCTGTAGCCTTAGCTGACCTGGAGCTTACTCTCTATGTAGACCAGGCTGGCCTCGATCTTATGAAGATTTGCCTGCCTCTGCCTCATGAGTGCTGGAACTAAAGGTGTGCACTACCATGCCTAGCAACACTCTTCATTTTTCTGAGAAAGTCTTACCTGTGGAGATTCTTAACTAGGAGGAGTTAGCATGGATTCCGAATTTATAAAACACATCACAATATAGATTTCAATTGATTTTCATTCACCAGAAGCTAAGTTTGACCCCCTTGCATGTGTTTTGCTGCCTGTCTTTTCTCAAAGCTGTCACTAGAGACACTTCTCCTGAAACATTACTTCAAACTTGCTTCCTCTTCACAGCCTGTGCAAGGCTTTGACTATGCCAAGCAGCACCTGGGCCAGCAAGGGGTAGATGAGGAGGTCATCCCTGTGACTCAGGAGACGGTGGTCCTTCCCCTTCCTGTCAGAGATACTCCTCAGGAAAGAGACACAGCTCAGGACGGGAGCACCATCAAGACGGCTAAGTCCACAGAAACCAGAAAGAGGTAGGTATGGTCAGCTTTGGCCTCTCTCAGCTAGGGAAACACCGGCATTGAGAGCAACTGTGACCCTCGAGTAAATTCCACTGTTCTTTTTAAAACTTACCCGTGTGTTCGTTTTGAATATTGAAAAGGATTAGAGTAAGGGAGAGGGTAAGAATCACAGTTCCTGCTCCACGTGAGCCACCGTCCTGGCTCTCCTTGCTAATCAACCACAGCAGTGAAGATACAGCACTTCTATTTACACTAACAAATTTGATTCTGATGCCACACATTTTTAACACCTCTTAGAAGCAGTGCCTTTGATTCACGAGAGTAGTATTTTATCTGGCAGTGTTTCATTAGCGTTTCTGCTTTCAGTCAGAATCACGTATTGAGTTTTTACTATGAACAAAGCTCTTTGAAATAACCGAAGATGATTGCCAACATCAACCTCAGGCTGCCACATTCACACACACACATGCACAGGCATATCACACATATAATGAAAATGGAAAAAAGGAAAAAAAAAAAAAAACAGAGCTCTCTGGTCAGCATTAGAAGGACTGTAAAAACTATATAAAGTCGATTCTTGCCCCCAGAATCCTGTGAGGGAGAAGACAAGGAGGTAAATAATGGAAGACAAATCATGACAGTTGTCCTGGTTTGTTTCTTCATTGCTGTGACAAAACACTCTGACCACTACCAACTTGGGGAGGAAAGGGTTTATTTAGCTTACATCTCCCAGGTTACAGTTCATCAGGGAGCCCAAGGTAGGAACTCAGGGCAGGAACCTGGAAGCAGGAGCTGGAGCACAGGCCATGGAGGAACACTGCTTACTGGCTTGCTCCCTTGGCCCCTGCTCAGCCTGCTTTCTTATGCAACACAGGCCCACC